ATCGAAAAGCTGGTTTAAGAGAAAAATGGTTAACAGATAGTGAAAAACTTGTCGCAAGGTAATAGAAAATTCTAGGAATATCTAATTCGAATTTTGATGAAGTAAAAATGTCTTTAAAACAATCATGAACATTTCTATGTTTTCCTTTTCCTCATTAATGAAGCCAATACTTTGAAACAAGTGAAATAGTTCTCTTATATAAAATGACGTAAAAATATCGGATAATTGAAGTAATATATATTTCTTAATTAGTGTCAATCATGAATTTGAACATTCACATAATCTTAAATCAGGTATATAAAAATTATTATGATTTATTTTATAATTAACAGCATGTCATGGACATTTATTATTTTCCACAAAACTAGAATAATCTGACCAATTCTATCCCTAGACTAAAATAATTTTTTACATCAACGATATTTTTGTTTTGTTTCCTTTGATTAATGAATCTATTTATTTTCAGTGATCAATTCGGTACAGATTTAACTTCTGTTGAAGCAGCATTTAAAAAACAAGAAGCTATTCAAACAGATATAGCTGCATTTGAAGAACGTCTACAAAATATCATGGCAATTGCGAATGAACTTAAAACAGAAGATTATCATGATTATGCGACAATTGAAGCACGAAAAAAGAATGTTGAAATGCATTGGGAATATTTAGTTAGTCTAGTTACAAAACGACGACAATGTCTTGAACTTGCTTATAATTTACAACGTGTTTTTCAAGTAAATAATTTAATAGAAAAAAAAAATTTTATCTTGAAAATTTTTCGTCTATTTAGGAAATGCAATATATTTTTGAATGGATAACTGATTTAAAATGGCGATTAAAATCGGATGATATTGAAAAATATGTTATGTCAGCTGATGATCTTCTTCAACGACATTCATTAATTGAAGCTGATATATATGTTATTGATGAACGTTTAAAACGAGCTATAACTGATGCTGATGAATATCTTAATCCTGAAGTTAATATTGATGGTTATCGTCCAGCAACACCAGAAGAAATTGAAGTACGTATACATAATTTACAAAAAGCATATGAAGAATTAATTGAATTGGCACGTAAACGTCGAGAATTATTAGAACAAGCAAAAATATTATCGAAATTTTATTCCGATATTGGCGATGCTGAATTATGGATTGATGAAAAACAACAAGCAATGACATCACCAGATATGGGTCATGATGTTAATTCAACGGATAGTTTACTTTCCAAACATAAATTAGTTGAAACAGATATGACGACAAGGTAATATTTACTAAAGATTAGTTTTATTTTATAAACCTCAACTCACCTTCGCATTGAAAGTATAAATTACAAATAGCGATTTTCATAATTATATTAATAGTTACATCTATGACCTTGTTGTATAGAATATATCATTATGTAAAATTATTGTGTTTGTAAGCATAGAAGGATATATGATCATTTATACTCGAAAGGAGATAGTCTAGAGCTTGGATTCTTGAAGGTTCTTCGATAAACCAGAGTGTTTAAATAGCTAACAGACTTCTATAAGATAATATGTTTGATATTATTAAATCGAAGAGAAAAATCCAAATCTCGGAAATTTAATGCTTCGTTGATTACTAAGATTCTTCGAAGATTTTACTACTTTGTGAGACATAATTATACGTTTACAACTTATCTCGTGTAACAGAAAGAATTTTTTAAGCATATATAATATGAGTTAGTATGATATTTCCGAGACATTGCATTTCTGATTGGAATAAAGAACTTTGTAATGGAAAAAATTCTAAGAATTTATGTTAACAAATATCAAGGTTCTTATCTATATATAGACTTTTTTTCAACACAATACAAATATTCTAAAGAAATAAATTTAAAGAAAATCCATAGAATTTTATTGATTGTATAGACTTGAATATCACACTGATAGAATAACATATACGATTGCTCTTGTTGTTACCCATGATCAGATCACTTAATTAAAAAAAAATTATTTTATAGGTATAATCAATTAGAAAACTTAACTAATCATGGTGATTCTATGATAAATCAAGGTCATTTTGCTGCGAAAAGAATAAATGAACGTTTAGATATGTTAAAATTAAAATGGGATAATTTAATTGGAATCTCATCAAATCGTCAACAAAATTTAAATCAAACACATGATTATTATCAATTTTTTTCTGATGCTGATGATATTGATACATGGATGCTTGATATGTTAAAACTTGTTTCAAGTGAAGATATTGGTCGTGATGAATTATCAGCACAAACATTATTAAAAAAACATAAAGATACACAAGATTTATTGGATAATTATCGTAAAACAATTGATGGTTTTAAACAAAATAATCTTCAAACATTATCTCCTGAAAAACAAACATTACCTGATGTTCAACAACGTTTACAATCGATTGAACGTCGTTATATTGAATTACTTGAATTAGCAAAATTACGTAAACAAAAATTACATGATGCTATATCATTATTTCGT